GGAATTAATATACTAGAGGTAAGCTATGAAGTATACCATTAAAGGAAATTATAATCAATATAGTAACATTATATAATTAATATTTATACTAACAACAGGTTACTATTAAATTAACATTATGCTTTTTATTTAATGTTATATTATACTAATACAGTAATTTATAGTTATTCATCCAGGTTGTGGAAGGTGCATCTGCAGTGGACAGATGTAGATTTAGCCAGAATCAGGAAGCCATTGTGCTAATATTTGTTGGCTTCTAGCCAAACATGCTCCCCTTGTTCTGTTTACTAAAGTTGTTGTTGTAAATATTGTTCAGTAACTTTGTTTACATAAAGTGTGCCGTGGGTTGTGTGGGTGGTGCTCGTGTATCGTGTATCTGTCCCTGGAAAGATCACAATTACAAATGTATTTACGAGTGTTAGGCCCAGTGTTACACAGTTAAATTACAGTACAAATATCAGTCATCTGCAGAAAAATAGATACAATTTAATGTTGTTTTCAAAATAGCAATTTTGACAATAAAATATACATGTCAAAACATCAAGACAATATAAAGTACATAGATTTCTTAGCTTGTGCTAACCAGGAATATAATATCAATAAGTATATAGACCCAACTCTGCTAATAGAAAGTTAATCAGGGACACAATTCCAGTTTACAGCACATTTCAACATTTTTGTGTTTACTCATAAAAATGTATGAAGGACATTCTTCTGAAAAAAAAAAGTCACCCCCAAAGTTTCAGATGCTTCCACACACATAAGGCAAGACAAGTTTATTTGTAAGTACATTACAACAATTCAAAGGGCTTTACATAAAACATAAAAGCAACAAAGGGAAACTGAAAAAAAAACACATTAAAATATAATTTTTTAAAGGGTAAAATAGAAAATAAAAACAGCGTACGAACACATAACTATTACTCATTTCAATACAACATGTAGCACAAAAGAAATCTGTCCTCATGTTTGTTCATTTATTTTTTCTCCTCCAGATGCTCCAAAGCTTCCCTCTGTGTCAGTGAGTCCCTCTGCTGAGATAGTGGAGGGCAGTTCAGTGACTCTGACCTGCAGCAGTGATGCTAACCCAGCAGCTAAATACACCTGGTATAAATATCATGGAAATCAAAACCTTCCTCCTCTCGGTAAAGAACCACAGCTTGTCTTCAGGTCCATCCAGTCCTCTGACTCTGGAAAGTATTACTGTGCAGCTGTGAATGATCTGGGGAAGACATCTGGATTTGTCTCTATTAAAGTGAAATGTGAGTAAAATGCAGCTAATTTAAAAACATTATACAATTAATGACAACTTTTTAAAGCTTAATTATCCAGTCAAATGTTTTGCTGATCATGCACTTTCTTCAGTTCTACCTGTTTCACATTCACAGCAGCTACAACAGATGATTAAAGGCGGTTTTATTTCGAGTGAACGCTGAGTACACGGCAAGGCGCATAGACTGCAGTCTATACACACACATTCACACGCACACACGAGCATGGCATGGCGGGCAAAAACACACGCACACAACACACGTGATTAAGAAAGATAAAGCACCATGACCATCAGTTATGACCAAACCACAATAAAATACATGATAAAAAGAAGCATGTCCTACCTTATTAAATCAGCAGCCGTTGCATCAGCGCTCTTCTCTGCCACCCTTTTAATGATGCAATCCGTGTCCAAAGAAACCAGAGTCTCCTTTTCGATTGCCATCAACATAAAGTTTTCAAGGTGCTCCTGTGAATTTTAACGTGGAAAAGCTTCGCTCACGTGCAACTTGTGTCACAGACAGAGTTAACAGAAGCTTGTATCACAGTCGGATTAGATGGTAGGAGTCAGTGAGCAGGTTATGCCTTTGTAGGACATAATAACAACAGAAGGGACACTTTCTGCAAGATTGGCATGTTGTGTTCACAACATCTCACTCTTCATCTGGGGTCTGCTCATCATCTCCATCCTCAGTACTCATCTCTCATCACTTCAGCTTGTCCCAGTGCGTGGCCAGGCTAAGTAGTTCAGCCTGTAAGGCCTCGGGAGTTGCTCTGCTATCGAGCCTGATCAGTTTGGCGCTCAGGGCACTGACTGCACCTGCAGGTACACCGTTACATTTCAAGCCATTGAAGTTCTGGGGATCAAGCAGGGCGAAATCTGTGTACAGTTCTCTGTTTTTAGCAAAACGTTGGGAAATGATGGAATCCAGAATGACATTGTGCACTTGTACCTCATACTTGCTGTCAGCATCTGATATGGCTGTATCATCACATAACTCGCCTGGCATCCTTTTTGTCTTCTTTGGTCTCCGGTTTGGCAGCGTGTGTTCCTCCTCTGTGTCTGTCTCACACACATTTAATTCTCTATTGGCCCATTGCACAAATGCATCTGTTGCTGCCTTTACCCTCTTAAAATCCCTTGCATATTTTTTTCATATTGTCATGTTTGCTTGTGATAAAGCGATGGGCCGTGAGCAAATCCTTTCCACTTGTTTGCAAATACTTGGAAAGTGGAGTTGTTTGTTGGAAGATGCGTAAAAACGTCTGGACAGTGAGGATGGTTTGGTATTTCAGCAGAGCCTCTGCATAAGCATTGGAATTTGCACGCACCGTCGGCTTCTTGTTATCTTTCTCGCTCAGGGTCTTGAGTGTAACAGCAAAAACAAAAACAGCAAAAACAAGAGCGAGATGCGTGTGGGTTTGGCTAACGTTATCTGGCTATTTAGCTAAGTCGGTGCCTTTTATTGAAATACTTTCAACTTTTCAGAAAGCCAATGCTCTTGTCAATATCAGTTTTTGTGAACAGATCAATCACAGCCTGGATGGAGCAGGATTTTATAAAAAGTTTGATGTGGTGCAACAAATTTTATAAATGTTGAACTCAATGTTCTGCATAAATGGGTATGATTATTGACGAGTTAGTAGCCTGGCCAAAATCAAGGCTGGAGACTATCATGTAGCCTGGAGCATTTTTCTTGCACAAAGTTAATGAATAAAAAACAACCGTAAATTAAAACAGCTGTAACTTGAATTAATATTATTCAAGTGGTAAGTTATATATGAAATTATATTGAATATAGTAAAATAATATATATTAATATCAAACTTACACTTTTAATGTTATAATATTATATTAATAAAGTCATTTAGACTAGTTCCTCCTCCATGTACCACTGTTCTGCTGCTCTATCCCAGAAAAGAGTGTAAAATGTAATTTTATAAATTTTCTGTTTGGATTACTTGTGTGTTGACACATAAGCTTTTGTAGTGAACAATGGTGTGGATTTGTGCATTTTACATTGAATAAATTTGGAGCTACCCTAAATTCCTTTCTCCTCCCCAGAGAAGAAGGGGGAGGGGTCAAAGTTGCTTTCACTAAGTGCTATCCCGACCTTTTTGATTCCGAAGATGATAACACGGTGCCTGACTGTTAAACTGACAAAGGGACACGAGCCAGCCATTGGCCTCTCCCTGAACAGCCTATCAAAACTGGCCCCCCCACACATGTTTCCGTGGCAACTGACCTTATTCTTTGTTTTATTACCACATCAAAGGGATACTCCTTGTCTCACCTAAGTGTGACATTGTCCAGACACTGAACTGGACTGCAATCTCCAAAGACTCAAAGTTTAATTAAATCTTTAGTTACCTGATTGTTGATATTAGTGCTGAAAAGAAGTTACTTGTGCAAGGTTTTTATTTTCAGCAAGACACTCCTTCATCTAATGTAATCCAAGCTTTCCTCATGTAACCTGTGCTCCCCCCAGTGTATGAAATAAGTATTACATGACCTCGTCGGAAATGCCGTTAAATGTATAAATATCCTGACCAATAATGTGACAATTGTTTCCTGTTATCAAATGCCTAGAACAGTACAACCGTTCAACCATTGAGGTTCGATTGTGGAAAATATTTGATTATAATACGGGCAAATAGATTTCTTTTTAGACATTAAGTTTAGGAAGGCAGTCCCTTGGGAAACCTGAGACGCCTCCTGGGGAACCACGCCCCAGGCAACAAAAGAGCGACACGCGACCTCGCTTCGCGCTCTTCTCTTCACTGTTGGCTCTCTTCCACTCTGCTCCCTCTGGACGCTTCGGCACGCGCGTGGCGTGCCTCGCCAGGCAACGCCCAGTCTCGGCCAGCGAAACAAACAGGCCCTTTTGTTCGCCTGAAGCTACACACGTGAAGTGCCGCGACATCGATCTGCCTTCAGTTTGTTTTTATTTTCTTTATTTCTTTTGTTTGTTAAAGTTATCAGTCCGTTAAGTTACACTGGACTAATTCAGGAACGACCAAGTTCCATTTTAAGCCTTTTTCGTCGAGCCAACTTCACCGAGGTCAGACCAAGCCACGTGGTCTCGCCAGCTACAACGAAGGAAACCTGCAAACAGCCGAATTGCCAGACGGAGGAGGCGTTTTCAATCAGACACGGAAAACCCCAGAAAATCCCTAGCAAAAAGCCAGGATCGGGCAGCTAGCGTGGGACCCGTGCAAAAGGCCAAAAGCAGGCTGTCGACAAGCAGTAAGACTTAACACACGTTCTGTGATAAGATGTCCATTTAACTCCGAAATTATAGCATTAGTTTACTTTCATTAGCTCTTCAATTGCCGTGTGAGTCAAATGCTTCCCACAACCGAACCTCGAGGCTCATTGTTCAGCAAATGTTTGTTCCCTGTATCCAACCATCTTTTTATCACCTTAGTTAGAGAATAAATTCACTGTAATATAATCAAGAGCTGTGTGTGTTGCCTATTTATAGTTCCTGCCAAGAGAATTGACCCTTTAGATATGAGACTGACTGACTGATTTAAGATAATTGAGCGATTATTAACTAACTGATCACTAGTAATAATTGTATAATTATTCAAAACTACCTAGAGGTCCGGAGACTCTAGGATTATAACAACTCCGGTGGTGCCCTGAAACGAGGAATGAAATAAAATAGGAAAAAATGATTTTATCAATCTTAAAAATTCATAATTGGGTATCAATTCTTATAAATTTATTAAAATGCATAACTAATAAATTTAGGTCTGCTACACTTTTCAGGCATTTTGTTTAGATTTTTTTGAATGAATGGACCCAAGCAGAAACCCAACTTTTCACAACATTAAAATGTGACAAACACCTTATAAACTTTCTGTGACAATGACTGCAGATAATTCGGGATTTTGAAGCTTGTCCAGGTTACGTTTCCCTCAAACCATATTGGTAGTTTGGTCCACTTTGTCTGTTATTAATGTTGATTGTGTCTGATGTGCTCTGTGTTACAGTGGTACAGAGTCAGTATGGCTGGGGAGTGACGTACACTTATACTAAGATCTGTGCCTTAAAAGGATCAACAGTGGACATAAGCTGCACCATTAAATACCCGTCCACAATCAGTTACCATTATATTACTGCTGGGGAAACATTCTGGTTTAAAGGTGATGATACTGTGGATCTGAAAACAAAGTCAGAGTATTCAGGTCGTGTGGAGTATAACTGTCATATGAACTTCTGCTCTCTGAGAGTCACAGACCTGAGAGAGAGCGACTCAGCTGAGTACAAGTTCAGGTTCATAACAAACCAACCAGGTGGGAAATATACTGGTTTACCTGGAGTCACTCTGTCTGTCACAGGTAACATTTTCATCTGAATATGTGTTTATTTAGTTCCAAATGTCCAACATCTTATGAAGGTTACTGTGTTTCTATGTAGACAGTTCAGTCTAAAGTGAAGATTTTTGTTCCTTATTCACAGATTCAGATCTCCAGGTGCAGGTGAGCAGATTTCAGGGGTCTACTAACTGGGCAGAGCTGAAGTGTCACAGCAGTTGTCTTTCACCTGGTCATCATTACTACATCTGGTACAAGAATGGACAGAATATTTGGAGACAAACATCTTATTCTTATTCAGCCTACTTTGATCCTGCAGACAGCTTTTCCTGTGCTGTACGAGGATATGAGAAGTCCCGCTCTCCTTCAGTGTGTGAGTTTACATCCAGTCTTCCACTGACATGACACCATCTGGTGGAGCCTTTAACCTATTGTACTGCACATTAACTGCATGTAACTCAGTGGTATTTGGTGATTCATTGTAGAACTGGATGAAAACCAAATCATTTCCCCATGAGATTGTAGACATGTTGCATAATTAACTCTTATTTTCTGTCTTCACTGTAAAATAACTCACAATGAAAATGTATTAAAACAAGATTTGTTATCTTGTAATTAGACTGTTTAAATTCTCTGGATCAGATCAAACTTGTGCATCATCAGAGAAATTCCCTGATTATCTGTTCTTGTATCTTTAATGTATCAAAGTGTTCAACTTGTATCCATGGTAACAGAAACCCATGCTGTTTCTGATACACGAGGAAATCAAGCTGCACCACCGAAATGAAATAATGCTCCACTGTGAAAATTCAACCTCATCTTGAAATTAAATGTTAAAAGTGTTCATGTTTTCTCCTCCAGATGCTCCAAAGCTTCCCTCTGTGTCAGTGAGTTGTTGTGAATTATTTTGGAGCATTATAGCCTAAATTGTTATCATTAATTACTAGAGCAATGGTGGTCTCCATCGTCATCATTTAAAGTGTTATTTTATAGTGTAAAGTTTAACTACTGAGTGTTTAACTACTGAGTGTTTAATGAGTGTGTTCAAACTCATATTTTATTCTTATACGCTGTGTGTTTATCATATATTATTCTTATTCTCTGTGAACGTGTGCTTTTTAATGTGCCTACATGAGCAGAGAAGCTGCTCAGGCCGCGCAGGCAAAACCTAGCCAACCGTAACCCACTCATTAGAAGCAAGGCACATGCAGAAAGTCACGTACGCCAGGGCTGAGATCATCGCGAACTGAAGCCAAGAATGAGATCATGACATGTTATGATTTATGGCAACTGGTACGGCTAGGTACTGCATGCAACCAAGCTCTGCGCTGCTGAAAGTTAACTTGTATGAGACAAAGCACTCTCATGGTTGGCATTGCTAAATCATGTAATTGTTCATTGAATCACGTTATACATGTATGAAATATGTTATTCCTTATCAATTCTTTTAAAAAATACGATTGTAAGTGTTTAAGTTTTAATGGTGTCAAACTATGCCTGTATAACTTTAAAAAATACAGTGGGACTGAAGTTGAAACATATTGGTGGATTTCTAATCCAGTAATGTAAAAAAATATAAAGAGAGATAAATGGTAACAATAATTACATGTAATAATAGTTAAAAAGTGGAAATTGTAACATTAATGAAAGGGTTAATTTGGTAAAACAGTACAAGAAAAAGGCCACTAGATGGCAGTAGAGGATAAGAAATTCACCAAAGGGGAGGAATGGTCAGCGAACACCATAGGTGGAGTTAAGGAGTAACGCCCACCTAGAAGGAGGAGATAAGGAGGAGTTAAGATGTAACGCCCACCTGAAGGGAGGGACAAGGTGGAGCTTAAGGTGAATATAAGGCGATGTTCGCTGACCACCAACTCGGTTCCATCCTGAGACCTGCAGGGATGTTGCTCGGGTTTATCGGTCCTTTATTGGAATAAACTCTTTTGCACCGACTCTTGACCGTCTCCAGTGAAGTTTTTGACTACGCCGTCTTTTGACTAAAGAAGAAATAATAGAGTAATTTTATTGAGTTTATTACGTTGGTTAGGGTAGGGACCAGGTCTTTTACTGGCCCGGCCGGTCCTTATTTCCGACCCGACAATTGGCGAGCCAGCCAGGAGATTGAGTCCAGAGGCCGAGAGTTTCTGACCGGGACGGACAGCCTGTATCTGAGACACGTGGCCACATAGAAAAGGTAAGCAGAATACCTGTTTAACCAAAATTCTGCATTTTAACTGTGTCTGAATACGGGATTTTCCGCCCAGGTGTGAATCTTAAAGTCTCCTCAATCTTGAACCTAGAATAAATTTTGAGTGCAAAAAGCAGTAAATTAAGTATAAAATATTTTACTAAAAGACGAAATTTGGATTTTAATGGTGAATTGAAACTAAATAAAGAAAGAAAGTAGACGCTGGGGGTAAGAGTCGGTGCAAATCTAAATGCAGGCAAAATGCAATAGCAGCTAAATTTGCATGTGTGTGTGTGTGAACCATGGTGCGGAATATGTCTATGTCAAAGTGTGTAATGCTAGTAGAATAGATGCGCTTTTTGTGTTTAATTGTTTGCTTTTAAGGGTAAGTAAAATAAGTGTTTTCCAGCCATCATCGTGAATACCGCTGTTTTTAAGAATCGCAGCGCTTCGACTTAATGTCGGGGAGCTTCGATCCAATCAGAACAGGACTGCATAGGCGTGGTGAGCTGATGAAGAGATAAGAATTTAAAGCCATTATCGTGAATACCGCTGTTTTTAAGAATCGCAACGCTTCGACTTAGTGTCGGGGAGCTTCGATCCAATCAGAACAGGACTGCATAGGCGTAATGAGCTGATGAAGAGCATTGCGGATACCGCGGCTTGGAGAGTGCAGTCACAGCTGAGTGCTGGGGCGCTTCACTACTGGTCGGGCTGCATGGGCAATAGGCTAATAAATAGTCATCACGTGGCTACCGCGACTTATATCGCAGGATTTCACTGAGTGTTGGGGCTCTTCGATGGTAGGTTCGGACTGAACGGCGGATGTACTATAGCGTTACCGCTAGGAGCCTAAATAGGACTGCGGCAGGATAGGAGAATAAAGCGTGCTTAAAGAAGTGTTACGCGCTCATGTTGAGGAAGTGAATTGAGTAGCGATTTATAAAGACAGATTTTGTGTTGAGGAAGTGAATCATTTCTGTCTAAGCCCTCATGTTGAGGAAGTGAATTGAGAGGCTATATTTATGTGTAAATTGGGCCTGTGTTGAGGAAGTGAATCAGGTCCACCAATTTGGAAATAAACCTAGGCGGAGTAAATTGAGTCTGTGTCGAGGAAGTGAATCAGGCTAATTAATTTGGAAATAAACCTAGGCAGTGTAAATTAAGTCTGTGTTGAGGAAGTGGATCAGACTATTCAGCTGAAAGCCTAGGTAATGTACATAAAGTCAGAAGCCGGCAGGAATAGGAGTCAGAAGACGTACGTGCATGTAAATATTGCTGAAAATAGTTGATAGCTGTGTGTTAAGAAAAAGTGCATATAAATGTTACCAAGGCCTAAAATAATATACTAATAGTTTGAGTCTTGAAGCCTCATGTTTAAGACCATTAGATAAAAAGTATAAAATAATGACAGTTGAATAACTGATCTAATATTAAACTAACATAAAGCTTAAGGATAACAGATGAATAGAGTTGATATGGTGATATAAATAAGTATAAGAAGTTGATGGAAGGAGTTATAAAGTAATAATATATGAATATATTGATGAAATAGTGAATGTGGACTAGTATAGTGTAAAAGACGGCTTTGATGCAGTCTCAGATTGAATTGTGATAAAGCTATGTGCAAAATAAAGTTCTGAAGTGGCAGTCCACGCCCAAATAATGGAGATTGGAAGAGAAAAGAGAAAAAAAGGAGTTTGCTCACGCTAACAGAGAGGAACAGAGCAGGAGCTGAGGTGCAGCTCTGTCTGTGTGAGTGTGAGTGAGTGTGTCCATGTGGGGGAGGACAGCAGGCTGAGAGAGAGAAAAAGAGAGCAGTTCAGCCCTAAACCAAAAGTTATGAGAGTTTTGTGATCTGTTGCACCTTTCTAGGATAACAACAGCACATTATAGCAAGTTACTCATTAGTTAATAATAACAGAAGTTATAAAAGTTTTTTGAACCAATAACAGCTTGACAGTGAGCAGATTAGTAAAAGAACGGCAATGACTGCTGGATACAGAAAGGAAAAGTGTAGTTGAAACAGCCTACTGAAGTATTATGATAATAAAGGAAATTTAGTTCAGAATAACAGGCTGAAGACACTTTTTGGTCGAGGAGAAGGAACAAAACTAGAAAAATGATGACATCTGATAAAGTTTGCCAATTTATTGGAACATAGAGGTACAGATTGATAGGCAGCAATGTGAGGTGTTATCTATGAAGGATTTAAGTTAGAGAAGGGATTGAGAGCCATCAATTTTGTATTAGATGTGAGAAAATGAATTTGATATTTTAATAGTTGTTAGTTTCACTGAAGTTAGTTATTTTTTAGTAAACTCTGCTTTGATGATTTTTCAGTTGAATAGCTCTTTGATATAAAAACAAAGGGGAGCTGCCTGAGTTTCTTTCAATGAAGTGTTTCATTCTAGTTTCTTGGTTGTGTGGCTTGACAATTAACTGTCTTTTTCCTTTTTGAGGCATGAAGGCCGTCCAAATTCCAAAGTTTCCAGAGAGTAAGTGTTTGCTCGCAGTGAGTGTGCGATGGCTGTCCTGGGAGGCACACAGCAGGTGAAATTAAATGGTAAAGAGCAGAAAAAAGAAATATTAGCTGCAAAGGTGGTCAAAGGAGGGAGCTGTGGCAACAACATATGTGGTAACAGCAAAACTAAGTAGTTAAAGATAAAATAAAAGACGTCAGATAAGAGATAGAGAAAGCTTGGAATGAAGGGAAAATATGGAGAAACAGTTTGACCAACAGTTAGATAATATTGACATACTATATAGCCTTTAGTGAAGGAAAAGTAGTCACAGAGACAGAATAATGAAAGACCCCATCCTGTTAGATAAGGTCTAAATAGATATACCCCCAGATGAAGAAACGTATACAGCAAGTGGAAGAAAGATATAAGTAAGTGCAGTCAAGGGCCAGTACAGGCAGAAGAAGAAGAAAAAAGAATTAGGGTCTTTAAAGGGTTGAGTTCAGATATAAAGGAGAGATGGAAAAAGAGAGGCTATATTAGATAGGGAGGAGACGAGAGCTAGATATGAATAGAAAGAATAACAACTCCCAAACAAAGTGAAAAGTTCGTCATAGCACAGATCTCAGAAAGACAAAAGATCTGCCTACAGACCAAGATACCTGCAGAGCACAACAAACCATGAGACATGACGACAGCGAGACAGAGCTACAGTGGACAAGATGGCAGCTCTGAAGTTTCATGAAGAAGGCGAGAGAGCAGCTTCAAAATGGACACAGCAGAATCTGACTGTGAGGAAGAAAGGGAGGGCCACAAACGAACAGTGATACAGGAGGCGTTCCACAGAGAGGCGTGCCAACCTGATGCATCACAGGCCCAAGCCCACCTCCACTGACGTCAGCATCTTCCCAACGCTGAGGACATAGCGAGTCAGACCACCCCTACCATCTACAGTCGAATCATAAAGAGGACAACACCACCTTAAAGACTGTGAACCTAACAGCACAAAGTTTAAAAGGTCAAGAAGGCTTCACAGTGAAAATGAACTTCAGCCAAAATGCTCTCACATGTGACCAAGTGCTGACAGAGACATCACCAAGGAAGAGCTCTCTGTCTCACCATGATCAACATTACAAATGGTCAGACTGTCAGAGGCCTTGAAAACTGCAACATCTACCGAAAAAGAACTGTTTGAAGACCTCACAGGAGTTTGGGAGTAGGAGTGTTGATAATTTGTAGGAGAAGA